CTTAGCTCATGTCTGTACTTTATCCAGAATGTCCTTTCTACTTCTCTCTTTGAGATTCCATACAAGCATCAACTCCCCTTCTTTGAAGCTTTGCCTGTCCCTAAAGACTGGACGAGGGGCTCTGAACTCCTGAAGTCTAATGAACTTCCCGAATCTCTGAACTCATCAAGCCAGTAATGAAATTATCTATGTATGTGGTCTCAGTCTTCATGGAACTAGAGGTTCCGAGCCAGTGATATTTGTTACATTGTGGGTGATCATTAACTGTTTGTTGAATAACTGAGAGGTCACTGAGCCCACTGAGGGACAAATTTCAAGCCTAGACTATCTTCTCTGTCTTGAGGCTACTGGAGATCTCTGCAGACTCAGCAAAGGGAAGGGACGGGCTATCCCTTTGAGAATGCTGCCACCTCGCGGCCAGACTCAGCAGTACAGCCAGACATCACCTTCCCAGTGCAAGCACCAAAGTGGGAGCTGGAGTTCCCCTATGGAGTCGGGGCTGATACCTGAGCTCCAGGCTGGTGGTCAAGACAAATAGAGGGAAGGGGGAGGTACGCCCTGAGGAGTGCTCAAAGCCCAGCACTGATGTCCTTTGAACATTCTTGATGAGTTCCAAGCAGACAGAATGGCAAGAGCAAAGGCTCAGAGGCAGGAAAATCTCATGGCACATGGGAAGAGTGAGGCATTAGTGTGACTAGAGCCCAGGGTCCAAGGGGACCAGACCAAAGATGAGCTAAGCCATGGTGGGGACCAAGAGGGTCCTTTAAGGACATCCAGTGAATGAATTTGAATCTTGTCCTCTAATCTGGGCATGGGATGAGACTAAGGGAGCAGAATGATAGATCTGGGTATGGCCACGCACTTGGAGGTTCAATATTCATTCATTCACTCATTAAGTATTTATTGAGCATCTACTATGTTCAAGATCTTTAGGTTACATCAGTGAACAAAGCAAAAATTCCTGCCCATTCGGAGCTTACATTCTCATCAGGAGGAGACAGACAATAAACAAAAACACTAAAGAAGTAAATTATATTTAAAAGGCAAAAAAAAGGAGGTGGGGACAGGATAAGGAAGATCAGAAGTGCTAGACTGCAATTTTAAATGGAGTGGTCAGAGTAGGCCTTGCTGAGGTGACATTTGAGCAAGGACTTGAAGGAGGGAGGGAGATAGGCATGGTATCTGATAGAAGAGCATTCTAAACAAAGGGGACAGCCAGTGGCTTGGTTTGGAGGAGAGCACGAGAGACCAGTAAGGCGACTATTGCAAGATGAGGGGCACAAATCAATAGAGGTTGTGGGAATGGAGAGACCTAGGAAGCAAAACTGGCAGGGCTTGGTGCCTGCTTGGATATGGGAGGTGTGTAACCCCTCCAGTCATGTTGTGTTCTTAAGTCCTCACTATACATGCCATCTCTAAGACAGGTAGTAAAAATACTCAGCACATTCCATCCTGGATGACTCCATCACCCATCTGGATGCTCCCCAACATCCCCACCACACACACTATCACCCTCCCTGGCCTCAATTCCTCAACCTCATCTTCAGTGATTTTTTCTCCAGGTCACCCAGCTATCCACTCTCACAAACAAATCCTGTCAGCTCCTAAAACTCTAAAAGCCACTGATTCTTCCATCTCACCTTTTAGCTATTAGGTTGAATTGCATCCCTCCAAAAGAGATCTGTTCAAATCCTAACCCCCAGTACTTCAAAATATGACTTTATTTGTAAATAGGACCTTTACAGAGGTAATCAAGTTAAAATGAATTCATTAGGGTGGGCCTTAATCCAATATGACTTGTATCCTTATAAAAAACGAGAGAGAGAAGTTAGGATACAGAATCAGACATACACACAGGGAAGATGACGTGAAGATGGATGACTGGAGTGATGATTCTAAAAGCCAAGAAAGCCGAAGACTGCTGACAAACCAGAAGCTAGGATGAATCAAGCAAGGATTCCCCTAAAGATTTCAGGGGAAAATGGCCCTGCTGGCACCTTGCTTTCAGACTTCTAGTATCCAAAACTGTGAGACAGTAAATTTCTATTGTTCTAAGCCACCCAGTTTGTGGTACTTTGTTATGGCAGCCCTAGAAACTGACACAGCTACAGTGCCCTCTCCAAGTTCTCTCAACTACTCCATCTCACCCCAGACATTTTCATGGGGGCCTCCAGGCCACCAACTCCTGCCCCTTTCTGTTTTCACTTCTTTCCAGGCCCAATTTGGATTCCTTGGTCCTTCGCTACTCTTGCCATTCTCCTCATTATTCTTCCACCATTCCTGCCTGTCTTAACCTCAGTCTGGAAAAATGCAACAGGGCTTCCTCTGAGTCTTCACCTGTCCCATGGGTGCTCCTGGAGCCCATATACACCCTGATTGATGACACTAGATTTTCATGGTCACCAGCCTCAACAAGGCTTTTAGCCCTGCCTGGCCATTCTCCTGTAGTCCCTGACCCTAGTTATCTCTCCCAATTGCAACAACCTTCTCACACTTCCTTCCCACCAGTCTCCCCACTCTACTCTCAACAGCAGAGCTAGACTCCTGTTTCTAGAGGAGATAGAAGCCTTCTGAACTCTTAAATCACTCATGTCCCATCTTCACCTCCACACCATCTGCATGCATATCCATCCTTAACTCCTTTCCTACTCTTATAAGAAATCATCTCTCCTCTTTCCTTTGGGAAGTCTCTATGTATCTCCATACTTCTTTGTCCCATTCCCTCTCACCCATTCAGGAGCCTCATTCTATGAGTTATCCACGATCTTCTGCATCTTTAATCTCTTTCCCTATTGGCTTCCTTCATCAGTCTACAAACATGTTCAAGTCTCTGCCAATTCATTAAAAATAAATAAATAAATAAATAAATAAATAAATAAATAAATAAATAAATCTCTGTAGTCTACATTCCTCTCCAGCTACTTATCACCAATTCACAATCCAACCTCTTGGAAGAGCTACTTATAAATGGCATAACCTTTCCTGAAAAGAAAAAAAAAAAGTTATGGGGGCAAAAGCCATACCGGAGTGACTTAAGAATAAAATAGAAAGTAAAAAACTGAACCAGCAGTTATACACAACTCGTATGCTCCTTGCTAAACTTAGTCAGGCTTTCCAACCTCTAAAGGCCTCACTTCTCTCTGCTCTCTCCCCACATTTCCTCCTTTAGATCCCAGTTGGGCCCTATAGAGGGCAAAGAGGGAAAAAGCCCCAGAATCACTAGCCATCCCTTCCTCAGCCTGTGGCCTATTTCCTGATTATCTGAGCTGCAGACCCTGTTCTTCCCAAGAGATTTTGAACCCAGCTCAGTTTCTCTCCACACTACCCCTGCCATCATCCTGGAAATCTCAGGTGATGCCCTAATGATAAGCTGCTCAATTGGAAGCCCCTCCTAGGACTCCCAGAGCCTGTGATGCCACCTTACTGAATCATTCCTTCAGCACAGGTCACCATGCTTATTCCACATGATCATTCCACCCTGGCCCCAGTAGGCTGGATTAGGATGGGAGGCCAAGCCAAAGTAATAGTCTGCAAGTAGCTTGGTCCCAAAGCTCTGGGGACCAATGACAAAGAGCTGTTGATGGTAGAAGACACCAGTGAAGATGCTCAGAGAAAAGGCAATATGCAGAAACTGGGAGGAAGCAAAAACCCTGAATTAACCACAAAGAGAATGAGAAGTCAGGCGGTTGCTGGTAGCAAGATACCTGAGTCACCATCACAATCCCTGGGGGTATAGTGGATGCTTCATGACCCTCTCTGCATTTGAGAGGCCTGGCTGGGCAGCTGCTGAGTTTCCTGCCTCTCCTAATATCCCCTGAATTTCCATCACCTGTCTCTCCCTCAGGGTCTTCCACATCACTCTGGGCCACCTACCTTGGAAAGCAAAGGATGATGCAGTGTTCAAAGTTTGACCACAGCCTGCTGGCCCTGTGGTATACTCATCCCTGTTGTAAGCTTTTATTGAGGCCTCAAGTCCCCCCAACTCCATCTTCCCCAACATCTCAACCCCTCCTGCCCACACTCAGCCAGACATCACTTCAACACTCAAATTGCTGAGCCCACCCTGCTACAACTTGAGCTCAGAAGAGCCCTAACTTTGTGCTTTCCTGGTAACTGGACATCCAGGCTACTGGACACATTGGAGAAGACCTCAAAATCCAGTGGGAAGACATCAGGGGGATCACTTCCTAAGTTATATGTCTAACCACTATGCTGTACACCTGAAACTAATATATTGAACATCAACTGTAATTGAAAAAAAAAAAAAATCCATTGGGAGACCCAATTGGCTCAACTCATTACTGAGTCTACAACTGTCCACAATTCTGCTCTGGTGCCTGCAGCCCCCTGGCTACCATTGCAATCTTTACCTCTCCCCTTGTTCCCAGCCTGACCATTGTGAATCTAAGAGTCTAAAGCCAAGGTGAAACAGAAAAGGAGCAGCAAGGGGTAAAAAGGCAAGGATGAAACCTTGTGGGGAAATAGGAGATTAAGGTATGTTTTTAAGATAAGAAAAAGCATGTTTGTAAACTGAGTCATTAATAATTAGGCAATTAATATTTACACAGCACTATATGCCCGAGTGGTATCTAAGAGTTGTGTGTATTTCTACATTCAAGCCTCATAAAAACCCTATGAGGTAAGCACTATATCCTGTTTTATGGATGAGAACACTAAGGCACAAAGCAGTAACTTGCGGATAAGCTAGAATCAGGATTCAAATCAGACAGTCTGGTGCCTGAGAAAGACGGAGAAAATGCCTGACCTAGCAGAGTCCCTAAACCAGCCCAAAGCACATGGTAAACCCGCCCAGAGGTCTAGATATAGTCAGGTTACTGTATGAGGCTTGTTCATGACTCTAGATCCTCCCAACACTAGCCTGAGCCTACTCTTCCTGTCTCCAGCCAGTGAGCTCCTGGGAGACAAAGGCAGAGACTCCCACCCCCTTAATCCCACCTCCACATAGCAGGCAGAGCAGAGGGAGAATCATCAGACAGACAAACTGGCAGAACTTTTATTTCCTAACCCACTCCCTGGAGCTCTGTCAGAGGCAGATCACAGGCACTGTAGATGGAAGGCAGAGTAAGCCCTTCTTAAGCAATCCAGAACCCGGCTAAGACCCCACACCTGTTACTCTTCATAGGGGCCCCTTTCCATATGCCAGAAGGAAGGGGAATCAGAACAAGGAGGCCCACCCTGTAGATTCAAGTCCTGTTGGAGATGTTGAGCAGTTTTAGAGGCTTCTTGGAGAAGGCACAGCCATCCTAGACATTCAAGCATGGAGAATAGCTTGCTCAGCAGGTCTTCAGGACCGGGTGTCCCGAGCCCTTCTTCGGGGTCGGGGGCCACAGCTGGAGCTAGGTGTGGAGCCCAGGCCAGGGGGTGCCCCTGGGGGCTGGTAGCCACATTCATTGGGGTCCAGGGGGTCCCGGCTGAGCAGTACCCACACTGCAGGCACATGTCGACGTACTGTGAGAGGATCTAAGCCTGTGTCCGGTGAAGTTGGTACCCAGCTGTCCTCAGTCTGCAGGAAGCGCAGCTTGGTAAGCTGGTGCAGGCCTGGTACCCGTCGCTTGACAATCTCAGCACAGCTGACAGCCTTCCCTGCAGCCCGGCCAGAACCTGAGAACACCACATGTCTTGTGCTGCCGCCCTCCAGCCGACCCAGTACCAGCCCCAGCAAGTTGCGGATTTTGCTGCCATCTCGGACCCGCATCTCCAGGGTATCAGGAGGTAGCTGGGGCATTGGGGAAGGTGCTGGGAGTTCCACAGAGCCAGCTTTCCGGTAGTGCTCCATCTTGCTTGCCGTTGCGTCTGAATCTCACTGCCCACTGCAAGGAAGTATCAGATGCATGCTCAGGAATGTGCCCCTGGCCATCCCCCACACCCTGGCTCTTCAGGACATAGCCCTGGTTCCTCATCCCAGACTTCCCAGGAACAAGGCGATATCCCCTCACTCCCAGCTTCTCAGGACAGGCGCCATACTTGCCTCACCTTGGGAAGGGCTGTACCCAATACACTCCCATTACCCTGAACAGGGCCATAACCCTCTCTCCACCCGAGGCCGAGACAGAACCAAATTCCCCAGGCACTGGGCCCTTTAAGATAGGTCCAAGCCCCCTCAGAGGGGGACAACACAAACTCCCTAGGTCTGGGACCAAGCCTGCCTCACCCTGGGCTCCTTGGGACAGCGTCCAGGCTCTCCCCCCAGACTCCCTGAGAACAAGCCTGAGGGCTCCTCACTTCAGGCTCACCAAGGACAGGGACAAGGCTCCCTCACCCCGAGGCGGAGACAAGACCCCTCATCAAAATGCTCCTCAAAGACAGAACTGACCCCTCCTCACTCCGAAATCCCCAGGACAGGGTCGAGCACCCCTCGCCCAGAGATTTCTAGAGTCATCTCCCCTAACCCAGGTCACTGAGAAACTCAGAGTAGAGGCTAGACGCGGACGGTTGCTCGGGTTACTACTGACATCGGTCCCGCCGGCCTCGGCCGTCTCCATTGCCACAGGCGGCCCCCAGTGTCCCGCAGGCCGCACGGCCGAAAAGTCGGCCTCTCCTGCCCACCC